GATAACCATGATGGGCGGGTGATATGACGAGTGTACCGGCCTACATCATCATGTCCGAATCGTAGACCAGTGATTAAGCAGAACTCCTTCCACCCAAAACAAGTATACGCCGGTGGAAAATGAAACCATATCTCTTCCTCACCACGTTGTATACTGTCGAGTAGATCGCTAGTCATGGTCTGAAGCCACAAATGGGTCAAATTAGCATCTCCACCCGGATGCTGTACTCTCAGCCATGGCCCGAAGCAGGTTTCTTCAAACAATTTTCTTTGTACAGGTGAAAGCTTCGAAGCAATTGTAGTGGCTAAGCTAACTTTATTCCTTAATATCAATGAAGCTGAAAAAAATTTCTACAAAAACAATAAACATACCAAGTTAGAGATACCAAAAACTACACTGTCAAGCTATACCAAAAACAATAAACATAAATAGTAGTTTATTCTTGAAACTAAAATTTGCAACACTGTTTTGTCTTTTGGTTGAAATGAAAATCGCAACGAGATAATGAGAATCGCAACGCGGAAATGACTATCACAACGAGAGAATCGCAACGCGAAATGACTATCGCGATTCTCTCGTTGCGATAGTTATTTCCGCGTTGCGATTTTCATTCTCGAAACTATTATTCTTCTGCATTACTTCAACCAAAAGACAAAACAAAGACAAATACTAACTTCACAGGCTAAACAGTTTAGCAATATTGGCAGTAATCGAATGAATTTAATAAGAAATCTAAGTGAAATGGATAATCTATTATTGAAATTACCAGTAAACTTATCATCAATCTCAATATGAAAAACCTAAAATAATGCAAAAATTTCAAAATAAAAATAAAAAAAACTAACCCTCGGAGGTTGATTTTCCATTTCTGAATGATTGTGAGGGATTTTTGACTATGAATGGTTGTGAGGGATTTCGCCGGCGATGGGGACGGAAATCTTCGGAGATGGGGACGGATTTCGCCGTAGAGAGTGAGATATGGAGATGGGACTGAGTGTTGTGATTTTGGGTTTGAGGTTATGAGTTGCGATTACTGTGGATGGTTCAGTTTCCGATTTATTAAGAAAAAATTCGTGTTTGGAATTTGAAAAAAAAATACGCGTTAATACGAATGGCGCTATGTAAATCGCGTTGCGAAAGTCAGAATCGCGTTGTGAAAGTCAGTATCTCGTTGCGCTTTTGTATTATCGCATTGCGATAGTAAGTATCGCATTGCGATAGTCAGTATCGTATTGCGATTTTCCCAATTCGCGTTGCAATTTACTTATTCGCATTGCGAATTGGGAAAATCGCAACGACACTGTAAACCATCGCAACGCGATTTCCAACTAACGCAACGCGAAATGCAACGCGAATTTGAGATAATGGAGATCGCATTGCGAATTAGCGATCGCATTGCGATTTTGTTGGTCATTTTGGCAAATCCGGAAAAAGTTGGTTAAAATCGTATATTATAAGGCATTTTTGGTCACTGAGGCGATTTTCTCAATTTTTATTATTCAATAACAAAATAAGAATATTTTTTAAAAGAAAAAAATTTAAGGGTATTTTAATCTAAAACGTGGTAATCCAATAATATCTAAGGAAATGGAGGTAATGACATTCCTGGTAATATACCCCAAAAAATCCACTATTAGTAATGTAAGATTACCGGAAATGACATTTCCGGCCAACTAAACGGGGGAATGTGGATTCCATTCCCCCAACCAAACACACCCTAAAGGTTAGGCCGAGTATTATCGAGTAAGTCTTATTATAACTTAATTTTCATTTGAATTTTTTTCAGTCTAAATTGTAAATATTTATATTGTTATGATAGTAGTTTATTTTAATTTAAATATTTTTTTATAATTATATGCGATATACATATATACATGTTTTTTTTATTATGATATATATAATTGAGGAACTTGACTAGAGTTTATAAATCAATCTATTAATTATTAAAAAATTTAAATTATTTTAGCTCTATTTTATAATTCGACTTAAATTTAAAATTTTTCGATTGGAGTTCAATTTATAAAATTACAAATTGAATCAAATTTATTAATATCTAATCAAGTAAAATAAAAATTTAAAGTAGATACTAATTTTACTCACCCCTAATCAAAGGCTGCATCTGGGGTTTGGATTTAGCCATAATAGTTTCGATATATAGGTGAACCAACAATAGTAGGGAGCAGGGGTTGTTTGTTTACCTTTTAATGGAATTATTTCGTGTGGAATGTTAAATGGTTCAGTATTTAGCGTGTTTGTTTCGTACATCTGAATGATTCAGTATTGACTGATTTAATAAAACAGTGTTGAATGATTCAGCATAGAAATACATTCTGAATGATTCAAAGCCAGTAAACAAACAACATGACACATTCAGAGCTAATTCGTCCAGAACCTCTGAATCATTCAATATTTGAATCATTTAACACTTATTCATTTGAATTAAACAAACATCCGCTAAGACTCCACCGAGCAACCATTTGTTCGTATTTATGATGTAATTGGTACAAATTTATGGGAGCAGAAAAAAGGATGAGCGGTGGTGGTGGGTATTTGCCAATGGGAATCTGCCAAGTATTTATAGGTAGTTGGCATCACATTTATTGGAGTACCATACCGGGTTGTGTACAGTGATGGTCGAATAATCTAAAATTAATTTAGATTTAATTTGATTTTTTAAAATAATTTTAAGAAATATCAGATTTAAAATAATCGAAATAGATTATGTAAAAAAAAAATTAGTATTAAAATATAATTGAATTTAAGATAAAATCATATTGATCCACCTAGAAAAAATTGCCAAGGATCTGCCTTTAGAGGCAAGATCCAATTTCAGAGGCATAGGCATTGATGCAGTGAGAACCTGTTTCCGTAATCCACAAAGCTAATAATTTAACAAGGATTGTTAATGATAAATATATATTATTAATAAAACTAAAAAGCTCATGCAAACAATGTTTCTGCCCTTTTTACTCCAACTACTTTAATTCATGTACGTGTCTTGTGTAAAATCAAACACCATTTTGGAGTAATTATCAATTAAACCCTCTTATCAATGACACTCTACTTTTTAGTTTTACATAGATTTAAGATCATTAGATTAGTAGAAATAGATGATTGATATTAACAACAAAAAATAAGAAGATATTCACTGAAAAAAAAAATAAAAATTTAATTTCAACAATCTATTTTCATCTAAAACTTATTTGATTGAGTCAATACTCCATAACAAAAACTTTCTTGTAACATGGATAATTCAAGGGTTAAATTCAAAATTTTATGTTAAAAGAATTAGATTGAATTATTAAATCTAAAGAGGAGCTTTAAATAAAATTTACCATTTTTGTCGATGATACTATATCTCTGTATAATGGTGAATCACCAGCAACATTACCTAAAGCCCATACAACATAAACACAACATAAAGAAAAGATTTCAAATTTAAAGTCGAATATATTCTCCTGCCAAACCATTCCATTTCCTTATTAGTCCATGAATAATCTTTAAATTTAATTATAAATATTTATAATATTATGATACTTTTTTCATACGTAACATATATATATCATACAAAGTCGATGAACTCGACTCAAACTTGAAAATCAAACCACTAATTACTAAAAATTTTGAGTTGTTCGAGTTGTACTTTACAACTCGATTTAAACTTGAAACTTTTTTTGAGTCGAGTTTATGAAATTATAACTTGAAGTCAATTCAAGATTATTTTTTTTTGAGTCGAAAAAACGATTTTCCGAGTCGAGTTTTACTCACCCCTAGTCACACGAGTTACTCATTAAATGGGAAAATGACATTCTTTCTAGGATAATAAGGGATGCTAATGAACGTTGTTAATATCTGTTTGGTATATATGGCATAGTGGAGATAAATTATAATGTCTCGATAATATCATTGATCAATATCATTGTTCTTAGTTCTGATGGACACTTAAAAATCTATTCACATATAAATTTATTACGACTTATTTTTGTTTGTGTGTCTGTAATAGTATTCTACTCTTTGAAATTATAATTGTTTTTTACTTCTCAATTAAGTGATAACAAAGACTCATTTTTTTTAACACGATGTTTCTCTATAATTGTCACGCTTGTTTTGATATTTATAAATACCTAAATTGTGTTTTCTTAATTAAAATATAACAAATTTATAAAACTAAGATCATAAACGTTTTAACTATTATTTATAAAAAATATATGAATATTGATATTTAGATATTAGTCATTTGATATATATTATTGGATTAAATTATATTTAGGGCTTTTAAAATAATACTTAGATTACACATAATAAACAATCTTATATTTTAAAACAAAATTCACAAGTCAACGATGATGTAACTTAGAGTCAAATGTAAGACGATCTATGTGACTTTGGTGTCATTTAACAAGTTTCAATTTTAATGTCACATTTCGAGTAATTTGAAGGAAGAAAAAAACAAAATGGGGACAAATTACATAAAAAAAGTCGAGTTCTGATTCAAATTTTATAAAATAAAATTCTGAAATCAAATTGCGTATGCAAATCGAAACATGCGGTAACTGTTTTAGATTTTATGTATGGAAACAATATATTATAAACCGATATTCATCAGTTTGGAACCCTGGAAGAGAATCACAGTTCCATGCTCTCCCATGAACCCTACATATTAACTGAGAGATCATCATTATAAGCTAATATACCTGTAAAAAGAAGTATGTATGGAAACACAGTAAAAACTTTCCATAATTTTCTTCAACTGGTAACTGGTGGAATTATCTGCAAATCATGTGTTTTAATATGGTTTTCCCCATTAAGGAAACTCATGCTTTGTTAATCATCACAGCTTTTAAAGTAAGCAAAATCTGGCTCACTCTATCCCTTGATCCTCTCCTTAATAATCCGTCACAAAAATGGTATTTCAATTGCCCAAAACGTAAAGGAAGAAAGAAACCTAAATTTTCAGCTACACATTCTTCTGCAATCCATAAGATTAATCTGAATTCAAAATGCAGCAGCCTTTTAGTTCCTTTCTCTACAGTTGTTTGCTGGTTTTAGCCCTTTTCTTGTCAGCCAAGGCAGATGATCGAGTTAGACAAATCAAAGATGAAATTAGCAACACTATCGTAGTCGATCAATCAGGCCATGGAAATTTCACCAATATTCAAAACGCCATTGATTCTATTCCTACAAACAATGAAGTTTGGACACTTGTTCATGTTAAACCCGGCACCTACATGTAATTACAGCTGAAACTCTTTCATGCACACGATTCAAATGGTTTATAGGCAATTATAGCACTAATCTTATGCGTTTTCATTTGCTTAGTGAAAAGGTGAATATCTCTAGAGATAAACCCAAGGTTCCTCTTCAAGGAGAGTAGGTGGATCGACTATTATCCAGTTTGCAGATGGGGGTGATTCCGTTAAACGTTCTACTTTTTCTTCGTATGCAGATGATTTTGTTGCCACGGATATAGCATTCAAGGTCCGAATTGCTTTATCCTTTTGCATGTTCTAATTCGAGCTATTGATATCGAAACATGCCAGTATGTGACCCTTTTTTTTCAGAGTACTTGCAATCTTCAACCCGGAAAACCGATCACATGGGCACTGGCGGCTCTGATCAATGCCAATAAAGCATCGTTTTATCAATGCCGATTCATCAGTGTGCAGGATACATTGAAGGATTCCCAAGGTCGGCACTACTTCGAACAATGCTATATCGAAGGCGGTGTGGATTTCATCTGGGGCAATGGAAGATCAATTACCAAGTGAGTAGGCGTTCACGGCATGAATGATGACGATCCTTTCTTATTTCTGTAATTCACTTATGTTTGTTTACACTTGAACTTCATGATAAATGTAACAGCAGTTACAGCACGCGGAAGCCTGGCTGGTTATATCACCGCTCAAGCTCGAGATAGCGCAGCCAACCACAGCGGTTTCATGTTCAAAGACGGTTCGATCGTTGGAACTGGTCCTGTTTATCTCGGAAGAGCGTATAGACCATATGCCAGAGTCTTATTTCAACGCACGAAGATGTCCGACATCATTATTCCTACGGGTTGGTCGGCATGGAGTTATGTTGGAAAAGAGTAAGATTTTAGGCCTTGGAAATTAAAAAAAAAGTTTCATCATTATTAGAATTAATGAATCAATTAATTAAGCATTGTTGTTTGATGAAATTTGTGCAGAAATACTATAATTTTTGCAGAGGTAGATTGTGAAGGACCTGGGCAGACAAGTCGAAGCGTGTTCCATGGGAGAATAACTTATCGGCCGAGGATTTGAGCCATCTGTTAAATATCAACACTTCCATAAACCAAGATGGATGGATCCAAAAACAAAAGGGCTGAGATCGGCCCTTAAACATGTGTTTTTCTTTTTCTTCCCTTATGCTAACTTCTAAAAACATGTTTTTTAGACACCATTGTAAGACGTGCTGTGTAATTTTTCATTTTAATATCAAAACAATTTGCCACAAATTAATATTTCAGCATTCGGTAATAATAATATGGGTAGATAGAATACACCAGAGTCACCGAACTATACTCAATTGTTTTCGTCGCTGAACTTTTGAAATTTATAAAATGGTCATTAGATTGGATAGGACTATATATTATACAATGATCATTAAAATTTATCAAAATTTTATAAAATAATCATTATTTTTTTCAAACTTATACAATTATTATAATATTTTAGTGACCACCTTATAACAATTTAATAAATTTAATGACTATTTTGTTGTACTTGTTCAAGCTGAACGGGAAATTCTAATTTATTAATGATATATACCATATTACATTCTTTTCAATCACAAGATTGTAAATCCTTTCGGCTGAAGAAATCAATGATATAGAAAGACCACATAATAAAGGCGAAACAAAGTTACTTGCTTGCGTGCTTATAGATGCATCTCTCACCCTGATAACATTTCTCGCACCTGTTCAGGCTGAACTGGAAATTCTAATTTATTAATACTACTTAATATCAAAAGACATAAAATTCATATGAGATCTTCTATCTGCATAAGCAGAATCACAGCGATATCAAATGAAAATAAGGATGGAATACGGAGAGGACCTCGAATCCCCTTAGATCACAAGGGTCGACAACCGGATAAAGGAAAGCCCTAGCACCATGCGCACTCCTCAGCGTCAAAAGAGCCCCCGGGGCCATGTACTTAGCCAAATAATCAACGACTTGAGCTTTCGCTTCCATATCCATCCTGACAAGAGCCGCCAAGAAAACGACATCGTAGTCCCTTAATGCATCCGTGACACCCATTATGTCTGCGGTGTGAAATGACATCCGTCGAGACAAATTGGGGTTGGACGAAACTAACAGAACAACCTTAGTATTGGACGAAGGGTCGATATCATAGTTGTGGAAAGTGGTGGTAGTAAGATGGAGAGAAGCCTGTTGTAGAATTCGGGTTAATTTCCACCAATAACATATTCACCTTCGAAACTATTATCTATGTGACTAGTGTGAAAACGATTGTACTAAAAATCACCTCAAGGTATATTCCCAGGAAAGAGGAGGGGTCACAATGGTCCCTCTTAAAACCCACTTTCCTTAGACAGAACTACCAAGACAAGTAATTTTAATAGGAAAATAATTAACAACAACTATACCCGACAATAGCTATTAAATAGACATAAAAGAGAACACCAAAATATTTCACTAATAGAGGAAATATTACAAAGAGAGAAAGAATACAAATAGACTTTAATATAGAAGAAGACTTATATTTGTGGGATGATTAGCTAAGGAGGAGGATGGCTTTATTTATAACAAAAGAATTTCCCCTCCTCCTTATACACAACCAATGTGGGACTTTGCCAAAAACCAACAAATCTCCACCTTGGCAAATTCCACACACATCTCTAAAAAAACAATCTTTTAATTTGTAACAATATTGACCAAGTCTAAACAATGTTTAAACTTGACCGCAGTTACCACTTTTGTCAACATATCAGCAGGATTCTTAGTGATCCGAATCTTCTGGATTATGACTCCACCTTCTTCTAGAATCTCTCGTACAAAGTGATATCGAACATCGATGTGCTTCGTCCTTGCATGGTAAACCTGGTTCTTTGCTAAATGAATAGCACTCTGACTGTCACAGTGCACTTTGATGTGCTTTTGTTCCATTTCCAATTCACCAAGCAACCCTTGAAGCCAAATTGCCTCCTTCACAGCCTCTGTAACTGCCATATACTTTGCCTCTGTAGTAGACAAAGCCACTGTTGACTGTAAGGTGGACTTCCAACTGACTGGTGCCTTTGCCGATGTAAACACATAACCATTAGTTGATCGACGCTTGTCCAAATCACCTGCATAGTCTGAATCACAATACCCAACTACACACTGACCGTCTTGTTTGTCCTGCTGAAAGACCAAACCAACATCTACGGTGTTCAGAATATACCGCATAATCCATTTCACAGCTTGCCAATGCTCCTTTCCAGGATCATGTATATACCTGCTCACAACCCCAACTGCCTGTGAAATATCGGGTCTCGTACACACCATTGCATACATCAAGCTACCAACAACACTTGCATACGGAACCTTTGACTTGTATTCCCGTTCTGCATCATCCTTAGGTGATATTGATGCACCGATCTTGAAATGAGGAGTAAGAGGTGTACTAACTAGTTTTGACATCTCATTTATGCCAAAACGTTTTAGTACCTTCCTCAGATATTCTTTCTGAGACAAACAAAGCATCCCCAATTTCTTATCCCTTGATATCTCCATGCCTAGAATCTTCTTCGCTTCACCAAGATCCTTCATCTCAAACTCCCTGTTCAATTGAGTCTTTAGTTTTGCAATTTCTGTCTGACTCCTGGAAGCTATCAACATATCATCAACATAAAGAAGAAGATATATATAAGATCCGTCTTCTAGCTCGCGTAAATACACACAATGATCATATTTGCTTCTTGTGTACTTCTGCCCTATCATAAACTAGTCAAATCGCTTGTACCACTGCCTTGGAGATTGCTTCAATCCGTACAACGATTTTTCTAATTTGCACACAATCTCTTCTTTTTCAACAACTTTGAATCCATCTGGCTGAGTCATGTAGATTTCCTCATCCAAGTCTCCATGTAAAAATGCAGTTTTTACACCCATCTGAACTAGTTCCAAATCCAACTGTGCTACCAAAGCCAACAAAATTATGATGGAGGAATGTTTTACAACTGGAGAAAATACTTCATTATAATCAACTCCCTCCGTTTGCGCGTAGCCTTTAGCCACCAATCTTGCTTTGTAGCGGATGTTATTCTTGTCAGGAAATCCATCTTTCTTTGCATATACCCACTTGCACCCAATTGCCTTCTTTCCCTTCGGAAGACTAGCTAGTTTCCACGTCTGATTCTTTTGAAGGGATTGCATTTCTTCATTCATGGCGATCCTCCACTTTTTATGTTCTGAACTTTGAACTGCTTCATTAAAAGTGGCAGGAACGTCATCAATTGTAATTGGTGATGCAAAAGAGACCATATCAGCATAACGAGCAGGTTGTCTAATGGTCCTCTTTCCCTTTCTGAGTGCAATTGATTCATGTTGCTGTGGAGGTTCTTGGGTCTGAACCTCTTCTTCATCTGACTCTTCTTCTACCATAGGAGAGTCAACATCAGTTTCTTTACTGGTTGGGACAATCTTGCTTCCTTCAAACTCCACCTGTTTGGGAGTTCCATCTGTCTGGTCTAATTTTTCTGAAGTCACCTTTCTCAACATGGTAGATTCATCAAAGATAACATCCCTGCTGAAGATTATTTTCTTTGTTTCTGGACACCAAAGACGATAGCCTTTCACACCAGAGGTGATCCCCATAAAGATCGCATTCTTTGCTCTTGGATCCAGCTTTGACTCCTTAACATGGTAGTATGCAGTGGAACCAAACACATGTAAGGAATCATAATCTGTAGCAGGTACTCCAAACCATTACTCTAATGGTGTTTTACCACCAATAGCAGTCGATGGTAAGCGGTTGATAAGGTGACAAGCATAGACCAAAGCCTCAGCCCAAAATTCTTTGCCTAACCCAGCATTAGACAACATACACCGAACCTTCTCCACTAATGTCTGGTTCATATGCTCTGCCGCCCCCATTCTGTTGTGGTGTACCTCTGACAGTGAAGTGCCTGACAATACCTTCCTCTTCACAGACTTTCAGAAATTGATCATTTTTTTACTCTCCACCATTGTCTGTACAGAGACGTTTGATTTTTCTGCCTGTTTGAGTCTCTATCATCTTTTTCCATTTAAGGAAAAATCCTAGTACCTCATCCTTTGTCTTCATTGGATACACCCAAACTCTCCGGGAAAAATCATCAACAAAGGTGACATAATAGTGTGTTCCTCCCAATGAAGTTGTCTTGGAAGGCCCCCATACATCTGAATGAACATAATCCAAAATACCTTTAGTATTATGGATTGTTGTTCCAAATTTCACCCTCGTCTTCTTCCCTTTAATGCAATGCTCACAAAAACCTAATTTGCAAGTCCGAGCACCCTTCAATAATCCTTGATCTATGAGTAATTTCAAGGATTTTTCACTAACATGCCCCAAGCGCATATGCCATAACCTGGTTGCTTATGACTCATGTTCATCAGTAGAAGTTGCCACTGCTGCTGTCCCAACAATTGTACTACCCATAAAGTAATACACATTGTTTCTTTCTCGGATTCCCTTCATTATCACCAGTGCACCAGAGATAATCATCATAATCTCATCTTTTGCCCTCACTTCTAAACCTTTTGACTCTAAGGTTCCCATAGAGATGAGATTTCTCATCAAATTTGGTACATAATGGACACCTGTTAAGGTTCTGATTGATCCATCCTGATTCCTCAAGCGAATTGAACCAATCCCAAGTGTGTCAAGAGGGGAATTATTTGCTGTGTAGACAATTCCACTTTTTAGTTCTTTAAAATCAAAGAACCATTCTCTATTGGGGGTCATATGGTGGCTACAAGCTGAATCTAACAGCCATGAACTGGAACAGCTGGTTGATGGCGTAGCAGCGAATGCGAAATCTGAATCTGCATCATCATACTCGACCATATTTGATTCCGAG